AGTAGTTGTAGTACTGGCGGAGCCCTGTGCTGTACTCGAACGGCGTGTGGGTGATGAAAAATAATTTTAAATGGCACGTGTACAAGCGAAGTCGAGTTTTTCAACGTATAAATACACATAATTAAGCCGCGAGCGAGGGCATCATCGACATCATCATCGACGCGATCGTTACAGTTACATTAATTTCTTTTTCATGGCTCTTCTCCTTATTTATTTTTTTTTGCGGATTCGGAGCGGCCACTCGATCGCGTCTCGAGATTTCCTGTCGTACATTAAGGATGTGTCGCGCTCGTGTATACGCGAGAGAGTATGATTCAATTGTTTTGTTGACGACTCGACGCGTCACTCTCGACTATATATACGCGAGGATCACGAAGTGACGGTAAATAATAATGATAATTACGATTGTTAATGCGTCGAACACGATCTCTCTCTCTCTCTCTCTCTCTCTCTCTCTCTTGCTTGAATTTTTGACGAGTGCTTTCGCACGTGTCCCTGGTAGAAATTCTCACTATGTCTACTAGTTTTTGGTCGACGAAAAAGTTTCTCGGGCATATAGTGACATTTTTTCAACATTTATGGTCATATTATGATGCTTCACGTTTGTTTTGCCATTTAACAATAATTTCTGACTTAATAAAATTCATGATAAGTATCGTATGAATACTTCTTCTGAAGTTATCTTCATCATTTGATATGTACTTTGAGGTCCACAAAGTAACTTATAATGTACAGAACTTACGTAAATTGATTTTATTTAGCGTTTTGCGTTCTACTCGTGAGACCATATTTTGTACTTGTTCGTACTTTGACACTTATACAATTATTTTTACTTTGCCACTTGCAGAATTACCGATATAAAGATACTCGCCACCTGGCGGTGAAAGTTGGAAGTGACGATGTTGTCGTATTCAAAGTTCTCGAAAACTGGTCCAAATTTCACGATAGCCTTAAATCGTCATTTAACTATATCAAATGCGCTCTCAATATTTCTGTCGTATTATTAATGAAAAAAAATCGTCAAAAAAGCTGATCAGCTTTCGTTCATCGCACGATTATCGATATCGCATTTCTATCGCGGTGACGATTGCCGAAAAATAATTTACCCACAATAACACAAACACACTCGACGAACTAAAATCCAGTATTTTAGCGCAAGACAAAACACACCGCATCAAGTCTCCGTTGCCTTACGCGCGCGTTAAATAATACAACTAACCCAAATCCATATAACCGGCTCGACGGCTCTCTTATACACTCACACATAGCGCATTTTTCCCTACTGACCCATTCGCCGAAAAAAAAAGGAAAGAAAGAAAAGAAAGAATGGAAAATATGTGGCAGCGCGCGATATAAAATCCTTGGGATCGGCGCCTCGTTGCGCTTCGCGCGCGCTTAATTGTATACGCACACTTACTTTTTTCTTCTTTTTGTATAAAAATAAATACACAAAAAAAAATGTGTGTATGTTTGTGTGTATAATATTCATGCACCGAGGCACGAATGGAGCACATTTCAGCGCACACGAGGTATATATATATACGGTTAATGGGAGAGCGTGCTCGATCCATAATAAAGTCAGGCAGGCAGGCAGATATTGAACTTGAAGCTCGAGCGATCAGCAGCAACTCGGGATGCGTGACGTCGACCGAGAGATGCCTATGATGTATATTACAGCGAACGTATACAGTTCGCTAGCTACTATTGGGGGCCAAATTGGATGCGCCCGATGAATCTCGTTATCTTTTTTTTTTTTTTTATACATGGACTGCACTGCACTGAACAGCAGCTCAGGCATGTGCTGTTGTTCAGTGTGCAGTCTTTTGGCCTTTTTTCTGACTCCGCGCGATTGATCTGCTGCTGCTGTTATAGAGTAGAGGAGCCTCGCGTTGTTTGTATACACACGTTATAACGTTTAAAGAGAAAATCGTGATTTCGCCGAAGGACGAGCTGTATATATACGTGTATACGCTTTACAATGCGCGCGATTGGAAATACATTTTCTAACGAGTCGAACAATGAACGTCGGCGGCGGTGGCGGTTCAGCAAACACACAGCAACAGCAACAGCAGCTAGATATAGAGGAGAGCTCCGTTCGTTGCATGTGCACAAACATTGTATCGCGCCGCGTGCATACCTACAACACTCGCATGATGTACGTACGTACGTACGTTACGCGGCTTTAAAATACCGAGAATCGAAGAAAATATCTCGCGCGAGCCGCGATCTACTTTATGGAAAAAATCGACGTACGTACGTTGCTACCTTTTTTTTTTTGCTAAACTTGGCCTTTTTTTTATATAGTTATTTGGGTTATCGATTTAGATATATGTATAGAACGCGATCGCGATGTCGTGTCTTCGAACGCGCGTGCGACGACGTTTTGCTTCTTCTAAAACCGGCTCCTCTATGCACTGAAGTTTTCTCTGCGCGTATCGAGCCTACGGAGAAGAAAATTCTCGGTGCTAGCTAGCTCGAGAGACGCTCGCGGAAAGGACTGCTATACACTAAGTAGTGCGCGCGCGGAGCTGCTTGCCGATTTACAAAACGTGTCCGCGTGTAAAGCTATTTAGGTTATTCGCGAGTGCATGCACGTAATTTTTTTTTTTTTTTTCATATTCACGTATATTTATACACATTAGCCGCACATAGAGGCGTGTGCACTTAGTCTCTTGTCCGACTGTCCGTCTGTCTGTCGCGGTTTTTCGGCGACTCCTGTTTCTTTCTTTCATTTTTTACCGATATATCGCGAACTCCGTCGCTCGAGTGCGTTTAATGATATTAACGTTAACGTTATAAATACGCGCTCGCACGAATGCTCGTATATGCCGGTGCGGAGCGCGCGGCTCTCCGTATACATTTAAACGAGCTCGAAAAAACGGTTCACGCGCCGCGCATTTCTCGTATAATATAAATAATAATGATTTTAATTGGCTCGCTCTCGTGACTTGTATTATATACATACGCATGCATTTTTATTCTTTTTCGACCAAAAGCGCATAAAAGAATAATTAAAAACGAGCCTCCCAAAATAAAAACGGTGAATCTCTTGTGGGTCTCCGCTGATTAAAACAAAAAAACGGAAGCGCGGCCATTGCGCAATCGGTTCAACAGCAGCAGCAGCAGCAATTGCATACACGAAATATCTTTCTCTCTCTTTCTCGGCCTCTTTTGGTGCGGTTGTTGCACGACCAATTAATAAACTTGTACAATTGCGTATTTACACGCGCGTTTTATAATCACACCGGAGAATTCGGGGAGGGCATCGTCATCTTCGGCTTCGATCGTTCGCAGCAGCCTCGAAGCGAGGCAAAAATTACATAAAGCTCCGATTTGTACTCTTCGGTCAGCTCTTGCCAGTGTATGTATGTGTGTGTATATGGATGTAACGATCTCCGCGGCAACAGCAGCGGCAACAACGTCGTCGTCAATTACCTATATATAAACATACACACCGGCACGTAACGTAACAGTTCTTACGTCTCTTATCTCTCTCCTCTCTCTCTCCCCCTTTTAACCCTTTCTAATCGAAAATACACACACACACACACACGCACACACACAGACACACGTATACACGCTTATATACGGAAGTAGATTCGCGAGATTTCGCTGATGCTGCAGCAGCGGTGTACAGGGCGGGGTGCAGTATGCTAACAGAGAGGCGCAGCACGTATACCTCACCAGGCAACACACCGACGGACATAAACTCGCACAGATAGAGATTACAAGGAAGCTAAATCAGCCTCTGGGGCTGGTTGTGTGTGTGTACTATTCCAGCCGCCGTGTATATATATTGCTATAGATGTATATAGACGAGCAACGGCATCTCATTTGATATTCGCGCGCGTGAGAGATCTCAGATTATTATATATACCGATCCCGGTAAAAAAGAGGAGGGGAAGAGAGGAAGAGAGAAGGAAAAAAGAGCGAAAAACGATAGATACATATTTGCAGATAATTTATACTTTATCGAAGCTTTGTGTGCAGGTGACATCAAAGTTTCGAATCAGTCTCTTTAAAAAAATAACATCTCGAGCGCCGGGGAGGGCACTTTAACATCTTTTTCTCGCTCGCTCGTCGTTTTTACGCCGATGTCTCAATCTTCGCATGCCTCTGCTACTTTACGCAGCACGCGTGTAATATTAGCGCTACACTGCACTACCAGCGGTTAACGGTATCGCCCGTATTCGCGCGTGCATATAATATTATACCATATACACATATAACGTATATAGCAGTAATACGAAACGCGCATAATGCGATGTGCTTCACTTTCGCGCATATAACATCTCATTAAACTACATAACGCCGTGGTGTGCGGCGCTCGTCTATTATGATATACAACGTAATAATACGCATATAACGTGATGATACGCAGCGGCATCGGCGAAACTCCCGCGCCCCGCGAATAAAAGCCCGCGAAAAACAGTACATCGTCCTTTTGTATATCGCGACGATGATGATGATGATTATGATGATGAAAACAGCAGCGGCACGTGTTTTAGAAAAATGATATCGTGTCGTTATAAAGAGACTTTTCGAGAACTCGTCCATTATATCGTTATAACTTTGTTCGATCGTCGGAGGTTTTGTTGTTAAATCTTTTTTTTTATATATATAACCGGTATGCTGTATAGCAGAGGAGAGGCTGCGCCACGCGATTTTCTCTATTACGCTTTCTAAACACGAGGGACGCCGCGACACTTCGGGGGCCTTTCTGTGTGTACTGCACTATACACATACACACACAGAGAGAGACGTATAGATCGACATCACTGGACTTCTCTCTTTTTCTCTCTCGTGGCAGTGCACGTCCGGCTCGATTTTAATCAGCCGCTACCGTGTGTACGTATGTGTGTGTGTGTGTGGCTTGGAAAAGGTGAATAATTATCGCACGCGGAAGTTTCTCCTCTATCGCCGGTTTTGGTCGACGTATACGTATAGGTTTTATTGTAACAAAAAAAAAAAGAACAAAACGGAACAGAATGAGTGACGAATGTAGGTCGTGTGTTTCGATCGCTTTTCGCGTTTGACATTGGATCATTCGAATTCTGTAGTTATATATAAAGATCGAAAAAATTGTAAAAAAAAAAAGGAACGAACAGAAAAAAAAAACGGCAAAGGCAGCAGCGTAACATGCTGGAGTGAACAATGCTGAAGTGGGTGCATCATCAGCAACATCAGCAGTCTACACTGCAGCCCACGAAGCCCCAGCCCCCGCTCCAGCCCCAGCAGCAGCAGCAGCATCATCGGCAGCAGCATCGCAATTCCGCCGATCGCGGAGACATAGAAAACAACAGTGCCAACAGTAACAAAAATAACGTCAATACTGGAAACTGCGGCAAAAAGTGCAACAATAGAGCGAGAAAAAAGCATAAAGCGCCTTCGACACCCACTGCCGCCGCCGCGGCTGCTGCTGCTGCTGCTGCAGCGGCGAAGACGACGACGACTGGCCTCGCTAAGGTCGTCGAGGAGACTCGCGAGATTATCAACGGTGGTGGAAAGGCAGTGGTGGACTGCAGCAACGCCTCGAGGCGACGTATCGGGGTAAAAGAAAGTTGAAACCAACCAAAAAAAAAAAAAAAGAAAAGAATATAAAAAACACTCCGTACTTTATAATATCGTCTACGATACAAATCACGAACTCGCGTCAGTCGGAGTATTCGACAATCGTAACCGTATCGTATATTATATATGTTTAACTATTTTGACACCTGTTGCACGCGATATATGTACGTATAGAGGTATGTGTGCATAAGAAATCGTTAGAAAGTCGTGCCTATACGCTGCAACGCCGCGAGGATAATTTTCGCATCTGCTCGGGATAAGCATCTCTCTTTTCAGACGCACGTGTGATATATTTGACGGACGCCTACGGCCTATTATTATTACTCTCTGTTTATTTTTTTTTTTTCGTGCCGCCAAATGGCACATGACTTCCGAAAGCTCCTTTGTGCGCTCCCGGAACAACGTCGAAAATTATCTCACCGCGTCGGGGCCGTCGGGGGACGATCTGTGTGTCGTTCGAATCGATCCATCCACGCTCTTCGGTCGTCGTCGTCGTCGTCTCGGACGTTAGATAATTTTCCAGGTAAAGCGAGCGTGAAGATGTCGAGCTGTCTCTAGCGCGACGTCTTTATTTATATACACAACTTTGTCCGTCTGTACATTCGCGGGAAAACCGTATCGAATTAATTTCGCCCGCGCTGCTGCCGCTGTGGAGTCGAGCCTTTAATCATCATCATCGTCGCTGCCGCTATAAAAAAAAAAATATATTAACACAGTATAGTGGCGGCGGCTGCTGTTGCGGCCGCGCAGGACAATGGCTATCTCTCTCTATGTGTGTGTATAATATAATAGCTCTCCATGTGCATATATATATTTTCCTTTCACTCCTCTGTATAATAACAACGTCTAGGAGCTGCAGCTAGATAGTTCCCTATAAGTGGAGCAAAAATTGAGAGTGACGCGTACATGTGTGTGTGTGCGTCTATCTGTTATTTATGTATCTTGTTATAATGCACTTGTCGCGCGCTTTTATATATATATATAGGATAGTGTGCGCTAGGTACCACGACACGGAATTTTTTTTATCTACTATATACACGACGACGACTTTTACTCGACGGATATAGAGAGTCGACGCGACGCAAAATGGGGAATCAAGGTCGTTCGTTAAAATAACTACGAGTGGAAAGCTGCACACATGCCTGCCTGCAGATATACTTTGTGTAGTGTAGTACTCGAAGGAGTGAACGTTGTTGAAGAGTCGGGTATATCTCGCTCTTTCTCGGTTTGATGTATTTTTCGCGAATTATTAACGTATACCACGCGTGCCATTACTTATATAAACACGCGTACACGCATGAATAAAATGCATTGTTTGCACGATAATTCGTCTTCTTTTTTTTTTTTTTTTTTCGTTGTTGTCTCTTACTTTTCTCTCTGCCGTGCGGTGGCGGCGGCGTCATTGTTGACGATTAGAATGCAGCAGTACATAAAGAGAGAGATGAAAGTATATATTATAATTGATTTTTAATTTAACGAAATTTTCTTTTGTTGGCTCCGCTCGCACGGATGTTTTCAATCAAAGAGCTGTAGCTCTGGCCTCTACCTCAAAGTCGCATCAATCGATTCGCGAGCCTCGAGTAATTACTCGTGACCGCCGCGCGTGCTGTATTCGATAACGTAAAATGATAAATAATTCGAGCCGCCCGGACGCCCTTTTCGCCATCACTATTATATATTATGCTTTCAGTGTCAAAGGGAACTCGCTCGAACTTGGCACGGCTGCCGAGGAAAAAATCGTGAAATTGATTTTAGTTTGTATTATACCTCCGGAGGCAAAACCAGTTCATCGTTCAGGCGCCCCGGATTCATTGAAAAATCGCTCGATTAATCAAATAAAAGGAATTATATATCCCGCGCGACGTTTGGAATACGATCGCGACGTCACTTTCGCACGCGAAGGATACGGCCCCCCCCTTTATTATTATCATCAAATTTTTTTTTCTCTTCATTGCTATATATAGTTGCAATATCGTACGTTCGTGCTGTGTACATCGATGATGGACGGATGCGCCGCGTATACAACATAAACGCGCGCAATTACGGGCTAGACGCGAAAAAAAAAGACGAAGTAGAAACGAAAGTTGCGTATATACACGCAGCAGCACTTTGTTAAAGTCCTCGATCCTCCTCCTACTCCTCTTCCTTTTTTTTTTTTTTTATTTTACGATCGAGTATAAAATGTGATTGCGCTGCGTTATAGGCGATCTCCGCGCTTAGCAGCGGCAGTGAAGAAATATCATCACGTGTATATAATGTATACGCTGCGTGGCGCTAAAGCGTTCGTACATATACATCTACGTTATATAGCTTATTAACTGCGCGCCGCGCGTTTTTTACGGCGCGTACGAGCTTAAAGAGCGCACCAGCAGTACACGTGTGTGTGTGTGTGTGTTGCAGTACTTACAGTTTGCAATTTAAAAATTACGTAGTAAAGACGTTATAAAGTCTCTATTTTTTCTTTCTTTCTTTCGTCTTTCATCTCTCTGTGGCTGGCGTCGAATCGTCGTCGTCGTCGTCGTTGAACGGATCGTTTATTTTTTCGCGATGAAAAGGCTTCGCTTTACACGCGTGTAATGAGACATAATTCGATTGCTTTCGCTTTCGCGCCGGTCGCCGCCGATCGTCTGTATATAATACTACATAATACACACACACGTGTGTGCAGATCGATCCTCGAGCTCTCGATTCGCGATCGCTTCCTCGGACAGCCGTGTGCACTATAAAATTATACGTACGGTTTTATGTACGACATAATAATCTGGTGTTGTGCAGTCAGCAACAGTTTTATGCCTCAAAAGAGCTACCTTCCGTATGTGTGAGTGCTGCGGTTTACATCTATGCGAAAGTCGACCCATTATATGTGTGTGCACTCCGTTGACTTTCGAATGTATGTGTATATGTGTGTGCACGCCGTTGTTGTTACCGCCGCGGGACATATGTCAACTTTCTCGATGGGCTTTTAAACGCGCGCGTATCGACCAAAAAAAAAAAGAAAGAAAAGAATGATAATAATGAGAGGTCCCACACAATCGATCATCGACTCGATGTTTTCTCGCGCTTTTAAAACCTGCTCTCCGCAATGTACGAAACTTTATAATTAACGGCTTTTCTCTCTGTTTTTTTGTTTTTTTTTTATAAACAGGGCTCGGATCCGCGAGTCGCCACTTGCAGGGGCAAGCTGCAGAACAAGAGGAGCAAGCTCAATCAGGAGATCAACAAGGAGCTGCGATTGCGAGCCGGCGCCGAGAATCTCTTCAAGTTAGTATAATTATTATGACAACGACAATATTTTATACGAGTAAAAATATCAATAATATCGTTTTCCTTGTCCTCCCAGGGCCACGACGAATCGCAAGCTCAAGGAGACGGTCGCGCTCGAGCTGAGCTTCGTCAACTCGAATCTGCAGCTGCTCAAGGAACAACTGGCCGAGCTCAACAGCTCCGTCGAGGTCTATCAGAATGAGAACAGGTAAGTTCGACGCCCCCTATGTATTTTTTTTTCTTTTTTTTTTAAAGCTCGAACAATAAACGGACGCGCGGGGTTATAGTACGTGGGCATTACGCGTCCACTTGTTGCGTTATACGCTTCGTTCGCCGCGTGACATATTATACGACACAGGGTCACTGCCTCTTCCCTCCGTCGTTGTCGTATACATACGGTCATCCGCGCGTGTATAAAATCGGCGAAAAAGTATTTAAAAAAAAAGGAAAAAGAAAGAATGAAAATTGGCCGTGGAGAAGAGTAAGTCGGTAGTGGTATTAGTCGTGTGTATAGAGTACACAACTGCCGGTATATGGTCTCTGTGCTGTCTGTGTTGTGCCGTGAGACAAACGCCGATTTTAACTGTACATGCGCGGCAGCCACGGAAAAATCTCCTTTTGTTTGAAACGTGACGTTATATACAACGCGGCAGCACGCCACCATTCGAGCGCGGGCCCCAACAGCACCGACAGCAGCAGCAGCAGCAGTTATTGTTATCATTATTATTATTATTATTATTATTGTTATTACGGCGGCTGGGCTCGTGCTCTGCTCTTTTTATTATACTCGATTTGCTTCGGAAAATGCAGAAAAAAAGAGGAAAGCATGGAAGAAAAAAAATATACATCTCGAGTCTCGTATGGAAAATCGTTACACATTATTAAACGCGCGTTGAGTAACATATCGCACACGACGCAGCATAGATGCGCAACGATTAGTCGTCATCGTCGAAAAATACTTAATAATCGCGCGGCTCGATGGTAGTAGTAGTAGTGGTAGTAAAGTAATGTCACGGTCTCGTGCGCACCGCAGCTACAGTGTAATAACGCGTTCTATTACCCGGCGGATTTCCCTTCATTCAATTGCCTCGTCGTCCTCGGCTAATAATCGTTGATGCATAGGCTTTCTACAACAATAATTCGACGGATAATCTTCGGTTGCCATTATAGACATACACACACACACACACACACACACACACACACACACACACACACACACACACACACACACACACACACACAGATTTTCACATGGAGAGATGCGGTAACGCGATTAATTGAAGAAAAATCGGAGCTATATACAGTTTTGCGTTGCAGTAGAATCTTCGATCTTTATCCTCCTCCTCCTCCCTTTCCTTCGATATAGAGAGTTACGTTACTTTTTGTATCATATATATACCGAAAGAATCCTTGATTTTCAAGCAACAAAAGAAGTTTTTTTTTCTTTACTTTACGAGAGAAGAAAGAAAAAAAATGATAATAAATTTACTTTGTGTCACGATATTTGCGGTGTTTGTGTCCCTTTATACACATTTATATACGAACAAAAGCTCGGACGATAACGGGACGAACGGCGCGCGTGTCCACGGAGCAATAATACAGAGAAAATATAACGTAAAGATTTACCGCCGTTTCTTTTGGACAAAATAAAGAGGCCAGATTTTTCATTCTTTGAAAATCGTTTTATTCATTTATTGATTTAATTTTTGTCTTTTGTTGCAGCGACGATGTCGCCATGCCGCTCATACCCCTGGGTCTCAAGGAGACGAAGGACATCGACTTCAGGGATCCGTTCAAAGTACGTATATACGCAACGACATCGCGGACAACACATCTTAACATTATAGATATTTACAGAATTACACAAGTACTCTACTATCTCCTTTCTTTAAACGCTCTCGAGCGGCGGCACGCTCGGATCGTCCACGAAATCCTCCTCGCCCGCCGCGTCTTTTACCACCGTCGTCTCCGTCTCGACTTTGCTCCTCAGCGGTTTTCCGTCCTCCGTGCAGACGGTCAGTTTTTCTCTCCACGTCTCCTCGCGCCTCGGCGGGCCTATCTCCAGATACTCTCGTTTCGTCACCTCCGGCTCGGCTCTCAGCCGCTGTATCGTCCTCGTCCTATCGTTCTTTTTCTTCTGACTCGTAGTCAAGTAGACGCTCGGACCCTTGGCGAGCCTCGGCATGGTGACGACGAGGTGGCCCGTCGTCGTGTTTCTCTGCGCCCTGCTGAGCTCCGTGCTGACCTCGTAGGGCAGCGTCAGCTGCAGCACCTTCGACTTGATGCTCACTCGGACGTACGTCGGCTGCACGTCCACGTCCACGAGGCTCGTGTCCAAGTGTCTGCGGTGAAGAAAATAAAAATATTTCATCGGTCTGAAAAAATGATAAAAACTTAATCTCAATTATAATCCATCGCTACCGCTAGATGGCGAGTACCTTCATGTGAAAAAATCTACAAGCGACTGAGTGAAAATTATATATAAGTCAGAAAGAATTACGACCTATAATTGAATCATCATTTCTTGAGCCGCTGATGCAAATATTAATTTTCGGTCAATGTTAAAAAATCAAAAATATATTCAAAGACGATGCCTGATTTTTCATTAAATCTGCATTAAATGTAATGATTTTTTTCAACAGCGTTGATCACAGTTCTAACATTTCTCTGCTAAGTATCGTTACGTTTTTAGTCGTTAACGTAATGTCAACATAACAATTTTTGAGTAATCAAATGGTTTTAACGATCTCTCTATTTTTTTTTTTTTTTTTTGGAGAACGAAAATCGTTTTCCTCACTTGATCGATCGATTCCCACTTACTTGTAAAGCTCGACGTCGAGCACGATGTTGTCCGGGTCGGTCTCGTCGTCGAAGCTGAACGCCACCTTGGGCTGGTTGATGTTGTAGGGCTTGCCCGCCGGATTGAAGAATTTCTGCACTCGCTTCTGTGGCGCCTCCTTCTCGGCCTGCCTCGTCTCGTACTTGCTCATCTGCTGGATTCGCTTCTTGGCTATGACCACGCGATCCTCGGGCGTGTGCGAGCTCTTGGACTTCCAGAATTGGTCCGTCTCCTCGTCGCTGTCCACCACCTTCTTATTTTTCTTGTCGTCGTCGTCGCCGTCGGTCACCTCGCTGATGACGACTCCTTCCTTTTCCTGCCTCTGTCGAAATCTCACCTTCTGCGTTTCGCGAAACTTGCGATACATCTTGTAACCCTGGCAGACGTCGTCGCTGGCCCGGGCCAGCCTCTGCAGCGCCCTGATCCGATCGCTGCGACTGATCGGCTTCATGTCGAGCTCGCGCAGCTGCGGCAGCGTCGCGATCACGTAGTCCCTGTAGCCGTCGTAGTCGCAGCACGGATTGCCCGTCAATATGAGCTGCTCGAGGAACTCGTTATTCCTCAGGCACCGGACGTCGCGGGCGTCGCCGACGAAATTCACCATGAGATCGAGCTTCTTCAGGCTCTCGAGACCCTCGAGATTCTCGATCACCTCGATGTTGTTCAGGGCCAGATTGAGATACTCGAGGCGCTTGAGCTTGTGCAGATTCTCGATGCGCGATATGAGATTGTACTGAAGCAGGAGGATCTTGAGGTCGCGACAGGCGTGATTCAGCAGCTCGATGCGCTCGATGTTCTCTTGGTGCAGGGACAGCTCCTCCAGGGTGGAGATCTCGCCCTCGTTGTGCTCCGAGCGACGGCGCAGCAGCTCCCACGTTATCCTCGACATTTTGTCCCTCGTTGCGATTTGTATTACCGATTGAAGCACCGACGAGGCGGGGGTTATGTTTTTCGAGGCTGTGTTGTTGCGCGGAGGCGCCTTTGTATCGATCCAACAAACTGTACTCTAACTCTAGTCTAGTGGAAAAAAAGTTTCTGATGAAATACTAATTTTACCAACATCACTAATGAACAATTACAATACTTATAAATAACATTACTAATTAAAGACATTGCCGATGATTTCTGACACTGATAAGTTTGTTTACACGTATGTTTTATTAATTTTTATATGTGAGAGAGATACATAATTCCTATGAATGAAAATTAATTCAAAGTTTTTTTAAAATTTTTTATTGAATTACAAAAAAAATTATTTCATTTCAATTGCATTCTTGAATAAATAAAAAAGTAATTAAAATTCCGAATTTATGAGATAATGTGTAATAAATACAAGCCAGATTATATGCAAATACATTGCATAAGAAATTGCATATTTTCACATATTGTCGCATATTTTTACGAATTTCCACCACATTTTTACAAACAGGGTCTGGAAAAAGCTCAATTTTCCATATTTAATTGATTGTCCTAATATAAATGAAGTAATAAATTGAATCATAAGAATCATAAGAATTATTGTTTCTAGTTTCTAGTTAATCGAATAAGCTTTGCCTTACAAATTTTTCAATGTGGTCCTCGACAAATCACATTAATTATACATTTTTATACATATTTAGGTGCATATTTGCATGGTTATTTTGTTTTTTTTTTTTGCATACAATCCTAGTTCCAGTAATATATAATGTAAAAAATTGTAAAAACAAAAAGTAATTTAACGTTGTATTTCATAGAAATATATCATAAGACACATGTTTACAAATGTACTTTCACACATTTTTACGTTATATCACATCACAATTTTTATCTTTACTTTATGAACAATAATGTTTACTCTTTTCCTCTCTTCCAGGACTTCATACTCGAGCACTACAGCGAGGACGGCGAGAATTACGAGGAGGCGATCGCCGAGTTCATGGAAACTCGAATGGTACGTACTCAATCGTTAAACAACCTTTTCATTTTGCCCTCGCACGAAATAACAATATTTTGTTTTCATTGTCATTGTCATCGATGTGTATAGGCGATGCGCACACCGACCCGCGACATAGCCGGTATCGGCCTGCTGATGCGTTACTACAATCAGCTGTACTTCATCGAGCGTCGCTTCTTCCCGCCCGAGCGCAGCCTCGGCATCTACTTCGAGTGGTACGACTCGCTGACGGGCGTGCCGAGCTGTCAGCGCACCGTCGCCTTCGAGAAAGCCTCGGTCCTCTTCAACGCGGGCGCCCTCTACACCCAGGTCGCGGCCAAGCAGGATCGCCAGAGTCCCAAGGGTCTCGATCAGGCGGTGGACTCGTTTCTGCGCTCGGCGGGCACGTTCCGATACATACACGAGAGCTTCACCAACGCGCCGAGCATGGATTTGGGGCCCGACATGCTGGACATGCTCGTGCAGCTGATGCTCGCTCAGGCGCGCGAGTGTCTGTTCGAAAAATTGGAGCTGCAGTCCAGGGACGCCCGCGACGCCGAGGTATCGCTCGATCTGGCCCAGGAGGCGGCCCAGGTCTCGGCCGTGTACGCGGACGTGCACGCGATGATATCGCGCGAGCCCGTGCGCGACTACGTGCCCGAGTCCTGGATAGCCCTGGTGCTGGTGAAACGCGAGCACTATCTGGCGCTGGCGCATCGGCACTGCGCCGCGGCCCTCCTCGACCATCCCATCAGCGAGTTCAGGGCCGAGACGAGGGCCGCCCTCGAGCGCATCCAGGCCAACGACTCCAAGACCCAGATCGATTACACGGTGCCGAGGACGGAGAACGACCGACAGCTGCTGGGCAGGTCGCACGTGCGCGAGGCCCTCGTGCTGCACGAGGAGAGCCAGCGACTGCAGCGCATGTGTCGCGAGCTCAAGGGCAAGCAGTCGCTGACGAGGGCTCTGCGTGCGGCCCAGGACGCCACCCTGGAGATCTACGGCAGGTCGGGCGACGAGGACGATCTGAGGGAGCTGCTGGACTCGCCGAGCATCGTCGCCACGAGCAAGTTTCAGCTGAGCCTGACGCATCCGGACTTTGGCCAGCACAACGTCGACGATCTGTTCAAGTCGCTCGGGCCCGTGGCGATATTCTCGGCCAAGCGACACTGGACGGCACCGAGGCTGATACAGCTGCAGCGCGGACCCGGCGGCGAGGGTTTCGGTTTCAGCGTGAGGGGTGACTCGCCCGTCATCATAGCGGCGGTCGATCACAACTCGCTGGCAGACGTAAGTATCGACATGATTGAATCACTAAGAGATGAACATTTTTATGATCCAATTTTTCTGGCGCAGTTGGGCGGAATGAAGGAGGGCGACTTCATCGTCAGCATCGCCGACAAGGACGTCAAGTGGGCCGCGCACGATCAGGTCGTGCGGCTGATCAAGCAGTGCGGCGACTCGATAAGCCTGAAACTCGTCACGCCGATGGACAGGAATTATCTCAAGGTAATTGATTTCTTGATTTTCCATGAATTTCTATTTATCTATAACGCGTCGAATCTCAATTGCAGAAACCAGCCAAGACCAGCAGCGGCCACAATCATCGGGACAAGGGCAGCGTGTCGGCCAGCAGCTCGTCGGGCGTCTCCTCGGGCCAGCCGTCGCCCGCGGGCTCCGTCACGACGGCCCACGTGGCCAAGCGGCTGCCCTGGAACCCGTTCAAAAAATCCCAGGGTGGCGGCAGCGACAGAGGCGGCGGTGGAGCGGGAAGCGGTCGCGACAGCAGGGACCTGACCTTCGACAACGTCATTCTCAGATGATTCTTTTATCGCAGCTGCTGCTGCTGCTGCCGTCGCCGTCGCCGATGCTCGTCCAGCTGCTATTCCAAATCAACGAGAACTACCTGAAATCGAGAAAAATTGTCGCGAAATCGCTGTAAATATTTATGTATCGTATTTTCATTAATTTATTGTAACACGACGGATTTCATTTGGTTTTTCTCTCCCTGTCTGTTTGTATCTGCTGTTGAAAGAATTCGTATTCGTTGCCAAAACTCTGTACATTGATCGAGCTGTAGCTAACGTTTAAGGATGGATTTGTGTATAAATGAAGGGTGTTTAATTAAAAAAAAAAAAAGAAAAGAAAAACTTAACGCAGAGTCGATGTCTTTTCACAAAACGAAAATGTTATTGTGCGCGGTTGGGTAAATAAATTTTTGTTTTCTTTCCCGAAGAGATATTGTCGTCGTCGTCGTCGGAAATTTAACTCGATTTTAACTTCGTGATAACAGATTTTGTTATTGTTTTTTTAAAAAATGACAGTTGAGATCGAGTTAAGAGACACTTTTTTCTTTGTAAAGCATCACATCTCGCTTATTCTGGTTGAATAAGTGATTATCGAAGCAATGTGAATACTCGAAAAAATTTTTTTTCTTTTTTTTTCCTTTCTTGGTTATAATATGTCTAAGTGAAGTAATTTTATATTTCTCGTTGAGTGTAACAATGTAATTAATTTAATAGTAATTAACGATAGATCCGGAATGGATTATTTCTGCCATATGTATCGGTTTTTACGGATGTCTTGAACAATTTGTTTCGGCGTTATTTAAGGTATTGAAAATCGTAAAAAAAGTTATGTCCCTCTTTCAATTTTTTTTCTTTAACTGTGTGAATTGCTGAAAGTGCAATATTTTTCATTCATACGTGAAAATTGTATACTTGAGCTCGAGTGTCTAAAAGTAGTGCCAATGATACAAGGTATCATATACAAATGAAAACGAAACGAAAAATTGTTTTAATCCATGTACTTTCATTCTCGAAAATGTGAAATGGAAATTTGTAAAGTGTGTGTGTGTATGTGTGCATGTGAAATCGAAATGAAGAAGAAAATGATTTATATCGTGTACAAACTTTATGCTCAAGTAAATAGCATAAAAAATATTTTGTCTAAAAAAATCAAGTGTAACTTTTTTAATAATCAAACTGTTTGTGCGGTTGAATGCCAAAATTCCCCCTATTGAGAGATATCGACGCATTCCTTCTTTTTGTATACGGAAAATTTTTGTAAAAATTTACGGAAAATATATATTGTGAATAAAAAAAATTAAATAATAATAATTGTGTTCACGTATTGTTTTTCCACGTACATTTCTGAGACCACTCGTACATACAATGCGCTAATTAACCCTATTCTATAAAAGTTGCACGATGTGTTACAAGTCACGCGAGATATCGAATCGTCACGTATAGATCCTTATCTGCTACGACGACGTTTAATCGTAGAGAGCCCATGGACATTTAATTCAATGAAACGAGACGCCGATGTGTCATTGTCGCGCGTCTGACGTAATGCCATTTTCGGTCTTACGCCGCGGGTTACATTTACGATACGCGTAATCAAAACACAGACGTTAATTGACTCGACTGCACCATCTTTTCTTTCTTTCTTTTTCTGCCGTACGTCGCACGTGCGAGAATCGATAATAAATATAATTTTAATGTCGCGAATTGTTTCGCGATGCGCGCGTCAGCCAAGGCATGACCGAGCACAATCGAGAACGTTTGTAATTTTATCCGGTCACGGAGTATCTAATCTCTGCGTTCGTGCGAGCGTAAGCGCGTGAAATTTAAGTGCCCCATTGTGCAATTGTGTTTTTTATTATATCGAGTATTAGTAATTCGCCGGAATGATGTTTAAATGAAAAAAAAAATGTTTTAATTGAAGCGCAGATGTATATTATAGATAAACACACGCGCGACACGAGCTGGTTTAGAAATTATACATTTTCCACTTGCGCAGGTGGGGTATACGAAAATTAATGTAGCATAATTGTGATTAATCAAAGATGCAATTAATGCAACATAAAGAAAAGAAACAGATGTGTGCGGGCCTCGATGTTTGTTTTCGATAATACACACATTATTGGCTACGAATTTATAAGTTTCCTGTTGCAAAATTTATCATTTCTTTTCGAAGCCTCGCTCGGCTCGACATTACAATGTAATAATATACTAATTAATTCCTCGAAAAAGAGGAAACGCGCCGATCGCGTGGGTGACGTTATTCGCGGCAACTGCCGTGTAGAGGAGAGGGAGGGCACAAGAGTACTCTTTTTCGTTATCGAAGATATAATGTACATTAGGAGCGTCGCGGCTCGCGTCTAATTTTTTTTTATCGATATGTAATCGGATATATAAACGACGATTCCGCTTTCGCGAGCTTTCAGTTGATTATCTGTGCGCGGATTGTTTGAGGCGCGACGAGAGGAGCGTCTTCGGAGAGAGAAAGATTCGTTCGCGGGCGAACTAAATCGAGTCGTGTGTGAAATTTTGGTTGTTATCTTCGAAACGATGTCGCCGTTACGGCCGAAGGTCGTGATTTTCTTATTGATCGGCTGTTACGCCGCGTCGAACGACGCCTGGTATCACGGGGTAAGTCGGAAAGATATAATAATTCGTAATTCTCTTTGACTTTAAATATATGTAAAGTATTAGTCGCTTGCAGATTTTTTCATATGTAAGGTACTCGCCATCTAGCGGTAGAGGCTGACTTTAACGTAGATTGAGTTTTCATAAATTTTTTGTGCGACTGGGGCAATCATAACGCTTTAAAACATTAATTTTCAATCAAAAATTCTTAATCGGTACATTTAAATGATTTAAAAAAAAAAAAACAGAATCGACTATTTTAATGATTATGTCTGATTCTACATTAAATATGTATTAAATTTAAAGTTCTTAACACAGTGTTAACATTCCTCAACAAAGTATCGAGAAATTCTAGTAGTCACTGTAATGGCAACATAACAATTTTTAATAAACAAATTGTTTTAATGATTTTCCAATCACTTTTGAATATCCGGTAATCTTGGTAAAGATGCTCAACGTTTTTAAGCTAATTTTTAGAGAATGGAAAAGTTTATTGTACATTAGAGCTTAGCATAAAACCAAAAATTTGTACTTTTTTTCAATACTGTATAGTCATATTAAGCTCGATCATTTTTTGACTTTGAAAATTCGTAGTAATTACCATTGTAAATATTTATTATTTGAATTCACATTCAAGACGATTAGGAAATATACTACAGAATTTTATGAAAACCTTCGACTTATACAATTATTTTTACTTTGCCACTTGCAGATTTAGAGATTAAGGTACTTGCCATCTATCGGCAAAGCCCCTAAAAACTTAAAAACTTGTTATAATTTTTCGAAACAATGAAAGTGTCATGTTCAGCTCATTTAGAATGTTTTTGAATTTTACATGGGAACACCTTGAAAAATGTCTTGTTTTCCATTCGAAATAAAATTTCAATTCTCACCCTCGCGCAATTACCTTCGCAGCCCGGCAACTACAATGGCGCCGGATTCAGGCACGAACCACCACCACCACCACCACCACCACCATCGTCGGCCACTCACCACTACCTGCGCAGTCCTCGTACCTGCCAGTGCGGCTTCAACGACACGGCCTACCTGCAGAACAGCTGCGGCCCGGCGATGCCCTTCATGACGATGATCGAGCAGGTGCTGATGTCGCGGCTCGACATCACGGACGGCTGCAGGCGCGCCGGCTCGGATCGGCCGCCGCGTCGCCGAAGCTTCGACTACATCGTCGTGGGCGCGGGCGTGGCCGGGCCCATCCTGGCCAGGAGGCTCAGCGACGACCCGAGCAAGTCCGTGCTGCTGATCGAGGCCGGCCCCGAGGAGCCGACTCTGTCCTCGGTGCCGGCGATCGCCTTCAACGTGCTGGCCTCCGATCTCAACTGGAAGTACACGACCGAGCCACAGGCCTCGGCTTGTCTGAGTGAGTAGAATAAACAATTATATCATACGTTGAGCAGGGATGTGTAAATTTATATTTAATAGTTTGATGAGTAAATAATTGAAAACCTTTCAGCGACTGAAATCGATTTAAAATAATAATTTATAAATAATAATTAAATGTATTTTAATTGATAAATAATTTTGATTGATCTTTAAAACAAGGTGATACAAAATTTAACTATACAAATATTTGTATAGTTATATTTTTTACAAACCTCTTATAATATTTGATTTGATCATTGATGATATGAAATCTCAATTGATTTCCAATAGAAATTAAAAGTATTTATCAATTAAAATCTAATCAATTGATTTTCAACTTCAAACTAAATTAATTTTGGATGATAAATTATTTTAGTTTTTACTTTAAGATGAGTAGAGAGAGATAAGAATTATGAGTAAAGAGAGATGAGTAGAGTAAGATAAGAATTTAAAATTATTTATCAATTGAAATCAATACAATTGATGATTAATTTTCTTTCATCAATCGAAATCAATTTCAGTTGATGAATGATATTCAATTATTATTTGAAAATCAATTATGAATTACTAGAGCCCGGATCATATACAAATGCATATTTTCTTATAAACTTGGATATATTCATTTATTTTTCAGTTTTGCATATTTTGCATAATTTCACATAATTTCGCATGTTTTTACGAATTTTAATAAAATTTTTACAAACAGCGGCAGTTACAACACTCAATTTTCAATATTCAGATGTTTGAACTAATGTAAATAAAAGAATAACTTGAATCATAAGAATTATTGCTTCTAATTTCTAGTTGATCAAGTAAGCTTTTATTTACAAATTATTAAATTTGGTTTTCGAAAAAAATTACATCAACTATACAATTTCAATATATATTTGAATTATTTTTGCATATTTCAAACATTTTTAACTCATTTTACATATTTTCTACAAATTTTTATACATACTTACGTGCATATTTTAAAGTTTTTGGTGCATATTCCGGCTTTTTTTTGCATATAATCTGGGCTCTATTAATTATTCGTGTATAATTGAATAATTTTTTCCATCAAACATTCGCAACCCCGCGCACAAAGTCACAAAGCACGATCGATTCTAAACCCTCTTTCTCTCCTCTCGAATCGCAGAGAAAGGCGGACGCTGCAGCTGGGCGCGCGGCAAGATGGTCTCGGGCTCGGGCGGCGCCAACGGCATGATGTACTGGCGCGGCCATCCCGAGCCCTACGACCAGTGGGCCGAGCTCGGCAATAAGGGCTGGTCCTACGAGGAGCTCGTGCCCTACTGGGAGCGCGCCGAGAACCCGGTGAATCGCAATCTCACCACCTTCCGGCGCTTCGACACCGGCAATCCCCTGGTGATCGATCACTTTCCGCACAAGCCCGCCTTCGCCGACGAGATACTGCGCGCCGCCTCGGAGCTCGGCTACAGGACCTCCGGCCTGAGGGAGCGCGAGCACACGGGCTTCGCCGTGGCGCCGGTCCTCGTCAAGGACGGCCAGCGCGGCACCACCTCGAGATACTACCTGCGGCCGGCGGCAGATCGACAGAATCTTCATGTCTTGACGAACGCCGTCGTCACCAAGGTGCTGACCAGGAAGCATCCGCATAAGCAAGCCTACGGCGTGAAAGCCGTGCTCAAGGACGGCCAGGAGGTGGAGCTGCTGGCCGATCTCGAAGTCATCCTGTCGGCCGGTACCCTGGGCTCGCCGCAGATCCTGCTGAACTCGGGCATCGGGCCCAAGGAGGACCTGGCCAAGGTCGGCGTGCTCCTCTTCCACGATCTGCCCCAGGTCGGTCGCAATCTTCAGAATCACGTGTCGATCGGGCTGTCGGTGACGATCCGCGACAACTTCACCGAGGCGCTGACCCTCGAGGCGCTCAATCAGTACCTGCAGCAGCGCAGCGGGCCGTTCGCCAGCACGGGCCTGACCCAGGTGACGGCCTTCCTCGAGACCAAGTACGGCAAGCCGGGCGTGCCCGACATACAGGCCTTCATCGACGGCTACAGCTCGTACTGCGTGAAGCACGGCCTGGCCGAGGAGTGCTCGGGCAGCCACGCGATCGGCAACTGCTCGCAGCGCAGGCGGCTGAATCTGAGGCCGACCGTCGTGACGACGAGATCGCGCGGCTACATGACCCTGAAGTCGAACAATCCGCTGGACTATCCGCTGTTCTATCCGAATTACTTCAGCGACGAGCGAGACATGAAGGTGCTGATCGAGGGTATCAGGAAGTTGCTGGAACTCATGGACACGCCGACGATGAAGAAGTACGACATGAGGTTGGAGGACGAGACGCCGATCAAGGAGTGCGCCAAGTGAGCATTACTTTTTTTTCGCATTCGATTAATACTGATAGAATTACTGAAATAAATAGATATTTAACTTGCGTTAAGTAGCGTTTAAATTATTCTTATATAAACGAAAAATTTTGAGCATTGCTTGGTTGAGAACCACCTTTAATTTAATTCATATAATTAGAATGTGATGTGGTAGGTGATGTTTAATTTTGAAAGGTGCATTGGTTTGGATCATGTTATATTGAACTACACGAATCGCTAACCACTAATTACAAAATTCTTATTAAGCGTTCTTTGACTTATACAATTATTGTTACTCGGCCACTTGCAGATTGGCAGATATAAAGGTACTCGCCATCTAGTGGTAGAGTTTTAAAGTAGCATTATTGTAATTGAAATGGTCGAATTGGTTTGATTTTTTTTGGTAGAACGATGTAATTTTCAGGTTATTTAAAATGATCCAATTAAAAATAATCGTTAAAAACAAGCCAATCAATGGTATCATATATTTTAAAACATTTGAAATGCGGTCATTGGACCCCTATCATTGTCAAACATTTCTATCCAGGATAAAATAATAATTATTTTTTTCCGTCTGTCTCACACAGCCACACCTTCGGCAGCGACGCCTACTGGGAGTGCTACATCCGCCAGGAGACCGGCCCCGAGAATCACCAGGCGGGCACCTGTCGCATGGCGCCCGACGGCGTCGTGGACGAGCGTCTGCGCGTGCGCGGCGTGAAAAATTTGCGAGTGGCCGACGCCTCGATCTTCCCCGTGCTCACGCACGCCAACACGATGGCGCCGGTGATCGTCGTCGCCGAGAAAGCCGCCGACATGATCGCCGAGGACGCCAAGAACGGCGGCAGCGGCGAGGCTTATCCCGGAAGATGGAGGCCGTCCGGAGGACCGTTCGGACCTCATTATTACGGACACGCGGCGCCGTCGCATGGTTCCTGGCATGGACCTCCTCGTTACTGATACAGCAACTTCGTTGATATAGTTTCGTCGAATTTCGTATAGTAATTTTATAGTTATAGAATCCCACCGCAGCAAGCAACCGCGTTGTACGTCTGTAGAATAGAAAGTTGAAAATAAATCTTTTAGAAAATATGATTCAATTATTTTTAATAACAAAATGAGGTTGACAATTGTCAAATTTTCTTGTCATACCCTCCAAAAAAAAATGTTTGAAAGTTGAAACTTTGAAATGAACTGAATCTATGCGCTTACAAAATTTTTGTCCAAAAGACTTGTCGCTCATAATTCACAAATGTGCTTCTTAAATTTTAAATGAACTCCATTTAGGTGCCTCATCAGATTACTCTTATCTTCAAAGGCTTGCCGCACTCTTCACATTTGTAATCTTTGATTTTTTGATGGACTGCGGTAACGTGCCTATCCAAGTCTCTTTTGGAACCGAAGCCTTTCCATACTTGTAGCACGTGTAATTTTTGATTTTTCGATGGACATTTATAATATCTTTCGAAGCTGAAATTGTGAAATTTTCTCGACTCCTCAATTTGAAATTATATCACTGGTTCAAGTGGTCCCCACTAGGTGGTGACGACTCAGATCGTCGTTCAGGTAGTTGATGCTGAGCGCAGCAAAGTCGTACACATTCGATATTGCTAATTTTCGATGTTTTACTCTAACTGCGATAACTCATGCAGGGATAAACCAATCGATCTGAAAATTTTACATAGCATTCTTAAGGTGTTGACGGAGTGCTGTATACTTTTTTAGCAACATCAGTTATCCTAATATGCAAAAAATGCATTTTTATGCAATTTTGAGTTTTGCATCAATATTCGTGTGTAAATTTTATAATATATATTTTGTGGGTTATTTATGGATATTTTTTTTTTTTTGTGTACATTCGATATTGCTTATTTTTTATGTTTTATTCTAATTGCGATGACTCATGCAGGGATAAACCAATCGATCTGAACATTTTACTTAGCATTGTTTCGGTGCTGATGGAGTGCTGTATACTTTTTTAGCGACATCCGTATATCCTAATATATAAAAAATGCCTTTTTATGCAATTTTGAGTTTTGCACCTCGCGACATCTCCACTTCGAAAAAACGTAATTTTTGTTTGCGATCGGTTTTACTTGTGTATCGGTATTTAACATTGTACTTAAGACAAGTATATCTTATGTGGTGTTTTGAGTACCACTATACTGAGCGTAACATGATTGTGATATAGTATAATTATGTCGTGTTTTGAGTATCACTACTGAGCAAAAATTTATGATATGTTTATTTATTATATGCTAATAAATAAATATATGTTAATTTATGATTTGTTAATTTATTTATTTGTCTCAATGTTTTATCATTTTGCGCGGTATTGATAGGTACGTTTTAAGATCATTTGTATTGATTTCGTGCTTGGGTATTGCCTTCATGCACACTTTGGACGTGTCTGCATAAATATTTTCTATGTTTAAATTTTTTTCCGCATAAAACACAAGCGTGATCAATGTCTTCGTGCTGCGTTTTAATGTGAGCTATAAGACGATCCGTTTGAGAAAATGTCTTGCCGCACTTATTACAATATCTTATTGTGTCTTATTATGCATCAAATTCATGTGTTTTTTAAGATTACCCTTTATTGTGAATGTCTTTCCTCATATTTCGCAAGTAGGGGCCATACCATTATGCATCGCATCGATGTGAATCTTGAGATAAACGTTTTTGTGTGAAAGTCTTTGCACATAGACCACAAGCATGCTTAACACCATTATGAACTCCATCGATGTGGACCTTGAGATTACTTTTTCGTGAAAATTTTTCACCGCATATATTACATGGATGTTTAACACCATTGTGTGCATCGATGTGAATCTTGAGTGCAGCTTCAGTTAAGAATTTCTTCCCGCATACTTCGCAATTAGGTGCCATACCATTATGCATCGCATTGATGTGAACTTTAAGATTACTCTTTAGTGTGAATGTCTTTCCGCACACTTCGCAAGTATGTGCCCCGCCTTTATGCATCGCATCGATGTGAATCTTGAGATAACATTTTTGTGTGAATGTCTTTTCACATATACCACACGCATGTCTAACACCATTATGTACTCCATCGATGTGAATCTTGAGTTTAGTCTTGGTTAAGAATTTCTTTCCGCACACTTCGCAAGTATGTGCCATACCATTATGCATCGCATCGATGTGAATTTTGAGAGTACCTTTGTGTTTAAATGTCTTTGCACATAGACCACAAGCATGCTTAACACCATTATGAACTCCATCGATGTGGACCTTGAGATTACCTTTTCGTGCAAATTTTTTACTGCATATATTACATGGATATTTGGTACGATTGCGTGCCTTATCAGTTTGGGTTTTGCGTTGACTATTTTGAGCAAATGTTTTTTCATTTGCATCAAATGCATCACTGAGTTCACCATCCAAATTCAATTCCTCTTTTACTTCGTCGACAATTTCTTCTTTAATTTTCTTTTGAGTCTGATAATCGCAACTATTTTTCATATGCTGCCATTGATCTGGATAATCGTCCTCCATTTTCTTGACTACTAATAAGTTAATGCCGAGCTTCTCGTCCTTACATTCGAATTCTATTTCCAAATCGTTATTAGGTCCAGAATTTTCATCATTTTCACGAAGCCCATAAATCTAGAAATGAGATTAGTAAAAATATTTGATCAAAGTATTGACTAAACAGTCCCACATCAATACTTACTAAATTTTCTCGACAAAAACTCGAGAATTCGTCATTTTTATCATCGCATGCATTGTCAATTATCTTATAATCTTCATTTTTAATTGGAGAAACATCATCTGGTTCCTTCTTCACTCTGCAATATTCCCATCAATATAAAGTATTATGCCATTTTTTTTTTAATTTTATTCTCACGAAACAAAAATTACCTGACATCAAAGTTATATACATCACTGAAGTCCATGTTTATCACTCGGAACTTGATCAACGACTAATTGTTTTGTAATGATGTTACACATCGAGCTAGGTAACATAAGTGTAATAATATTTACAAATCGTGAAATGAAAGTTTGAGAAAATTTATGTCAACAGAGACACTCTAAACTTATCATTTATTATTGGAGAAATTATACTATTGATCTCGTAATAAACAATTAGCCATTTTCTTTGAATTGTATCTTATTACAAAGAAATTATAAATTATTGAACACTTCATGAATCGAGCTTATGATGTGTCCTATGCTCCTTTTCGCATAATTTTTGTCGACGCGCAAAATATGAAACAAAGTTAACGTGAGCGAATGAAGGGTTTATATACATTTTTATATTACACTAACGCCAAATACGCGACTACAGTCGCATCTATATCATTTACCATTTTTACACAACGAGCGAATATCGTACATCTATGTAATCTATGTGTGATAAATATGCATGGTTAGTCATGTAGTCAAATATATATCTATGTACATTGTCACGTGGGCACACCGGTCCAGCTTAACGCGTACATACAGTTCTATATGTGTTGGCATGCCATGTGCCAATTCCTTTGGTCGCAACGTTGTCCATACACGCTGAGCACAAAACATCAATAAGTGAAATCTATTTACGTACGTGCGAATTACGAAAACCTGTATTCATATATACCTATACTAATGTACATGTAGGGAACATCAAACTAAAAAATACGCCCGATTTTTGTGTTCTACTTCCAATTATACCAATAATAATTTTAACGGCTTTACCAAATTAGCTGACACAAAAAACTCATTGTAACATTGATTTATTATGATACTCATTGAAGCTACTATTATTAATTTCATACGGTTGAAACAACTATTATCATGATGTCGTATGCTATTTCGTTATTTACCATTCAGTCGCTCAGCATTTTGCAACTGCGGTTGCTACTAGTAAAATAATACTAGTTCAAGGCATATAACTTATATGATATAAGAGAGTCGATCACCTTATCGTGCACATTGCTTTAGACTACTCGTCGACACAATTACGTTTTTTTCTTTCACACTGTATAAAATAGATAAAAATTAATTTGTAAAAATAATGTTTATAAATTTATAATTGCTAAGGTTCCCAGGGCCGAAGTTTGCTCCATAGTGCCTTGGGGTTTCTTCATTAAGCTGAGCGCAGCGAAGTCGTATCATGGCCAGTTCGCCTAATTTTCGTGTGTTAGCGGTCATACGATAACTTGAAATCTTTTTATGCAATCGCTTTGAAATTTTCTTGATCAATTTTTCTTGAATATTTTTTAAAGTTCAAAAAAAATTTGAAAAAGTAAATCTAAAATATTGAGTTAGCTGTATTTAGACAGCCATTAGTACTAAAACATCTTGCGATGCAATTAATTAAAAACGTGAAAATACGAAAGAAGAGAAGTTTTGTAAAGTATTGCATGTTCCGTTGGTTGAAAGAGGTTTACGAGAAACATATTTTTTTCCATTTTCCGATCCAAATAACTTTGGATAAAAAAAATCAATCATGTACGAATGTCAATGTAATCTCGGTGAAAATGCACTCTCTGATAAGTTGTAGATTTGATGGCGCAGAGAAGGTTAAAATGAAATAAAAGTCCAAGTCAATACATTCAATTTTTTTCAAATACATTTATTTCAATTACATGAAAAACTTAAAAAATGTATTGTCACCATTTCCTGATCTTTCACCTTTATCGGAAAGCCGCCACACAAATATGGTACAAATCTTCGTTTTCCAAGTTATCCATGATCATTTCACAAGGGAGATATGGCAGCCTGTAGTTGATAAGCTCCATAAAAGGATCCGTTGCCCAACGCCAGAAAAATCCTCTCAATATTTTCTCGCTTAGATGAGTTTGATAAGCCTTATAATTAACACTGGTATATATCCTCGGTTCAATGGCATAAGAGAAATTGCAATAGTCCTCGTATGTGAGTAATTTGGCCGCCTCCTCGGGTCGTAGTCGAATCAAGGCATAGAGCGACAGGCTCGAATTCACCATTGTTTCTTGGGCTTCCGTCGCGAACTCCTCGTCGTCGTACCAACATTTTGCGAGATTCACCGACTTCTCGAAAAATCCGTACTTGGAGAACAATTTCATGACGATCAGAGCCTCGCTTCGGTCCAGTTCGTATCCTCTTTTCTCGAGATTTTCGACGATGGACATCAGACAAGACGGTAGCCTACATTTATTTTCACGTCGTGCTTTTATAAATTTAAAGCCTCCGTCAAAGTTACTTTCAATTGGAAAAACGAAGCTGGACAGATCGGTTGAACTCGGTGCTGCGCGCTGCGCACTGCGCATTGCGTATAACACGACGCATGCAGCTACCTCCACACTCACTGTAGAAAAACTTGCCCTGCAAGAGCCTCCTTAATTATGTCTTAGATTCAAATTTAATGTAAAGCTTTTTCGATTAACGTTTTCACAATCAAAAACATTGATCCTAGGTTTTCTGTAAAAATCACTAAATGAAATGAAATGAAATTTCGTATAGCTATTCAAGTAGTGAAGTATAGGATTAATAATTCAATTAAAAACTTTGTTTGAACTGACGTTTCACATTGAAAACATAAAAAACTTAAAATAACTGAGTGAAAATGTATGCAAAGATGAAGGAATATTTTTCCTTTCATCAAGAAAGAATCAAATTTTTTTTGATAAATTTGAGAATTTGGTGGCCCTTTACACGTTTTCCCGACGGTTTATACTTTACTTTTCAAGAACTTTTCATATAAATCAATACTTCTAACTACTTATTTAACAATTATATAATATAAAAAAATTGGCACTTCGTATAAGTTATTTGGAGGTGCGTGCATTGAAGGCTGTCTATACACACTCGGTCGATAACAAATACGTAATGATTTTTACCCATTTTTTGTATTCACTAGCGAACCATTAAACTTGAAATTTCATTGGAGTGATTATGAAACTCATGACAAGTTAGTTTTCAATTAAACGACCGGTACTTTCAAGCAAACTTGATTTTCAATTATCCGCTTTTTATAACCTAAAAAGTAACGTGTCGTCAAACAATTAGTTAAAATGATTTCATTGAACACTTCATTAAAATCTAACGACATTGGCACATTTTTGTAAGTTTTAAATTTCAAGTTTAATGGTTGCCTAGAGAATAAAAAAAATTGGCACAAAATAATGCCGGTATGTCGGTATTTGTCGCTCTATACAGATGAGCCTTACAAAAAGTTTTGACATTGTGTCGAGCACGTGTTTTGATTCGTGTACGATCAATTGCTACGGTTTCGCCTGCTTCTTCTTTTTCTTCTTCTTCTTCTATTGTATTGATGCTCGATGACTCGTAAATAATTTCATTTACTAGATGAAATACCATGCGTTGCATTGAATATTTACCGGAAATTCTTCTCAATTCGCTTTTCCACATATAAACGTAACTAGGCTTATATTCGTGGAAACTATCGTTAAAACTCACGTCACATTCTATTCCCAGATTAGAAAGTAACTTATCCCACCGAGAGTCATGAAAGAAGATACATATTCAATATATACAATGGGCTTTGAAGGCGGGGCTATGATGTCACAGGCCAGACTTTGACATTATCGAGCAAGCTAAAACGGCATGGCCCCGCCTTCATTTCAGATACGATATGGCGAGTATGATTGAAACCGTGGAATTATGAACAGCCTTTGTTATGTTTTGTAAAAACTGGAGCAATTTCCTCGACATCTTCTCCTCTTCTATGATCTGACTATAAATATTTTCTTTTACAGTAGAAGACGAAGAAATTTCAACTAGTGTTACGTCAAGTTCGAATGAAGGAACTGTGTCAGGTTTGGATGAAGAAGCTGTGTTAAGTTCGGATAAAGAAGTCGTATCAAATTCGGATAAAATAATTGTGTCAAGTTTAGAAGAAGCTGTGTCAAGTTCGGATAAGGAAGTTGTATCAAGTTCGGATAAAAAAGTTGTGTCAGAAGAAGATATATCAAGTTCGAACGAAGAAGTTATGCCTCAGTCCAGTTATTTTTTCCGATTTCTAAGTTCAAGGACACCAGACATGAGGGTCAAAGTTGAAGATGCCCAATCGTATCTTGATGAAGTTAAATATCAATTACAGGATCAGCCACAGGTTTACAACGATTTCTTAAGAATTATGAAAGAGTTTAAGTCTGGAGACATGGATTTTCCAGATGTTATCACCATGATTTATTACTTATTTCAAGAACATCTGAAATTAATCAATGACTTGACCCACTTTTTACCACCGGGTGTCGGATTTGAAGTTCACAAAAATGATCAAGACTGCGATGTGAGAGTCTTTTATAGCATCCCAATAGACTAATGACTAAGTAGATAATTTATTTGTATCATGCAAACAATAGAGTTTATTTCCAATGTATATAGCTATTAAAAATTATAAAATTATATGTACTCGTATATATTTCTTTGCCAAATGTAAGACACATTAATAAATAAGTACAAGTAAAAAATCTGTTGAATTATTTTTCTTTATTGATCGCGTCGGATAGTAAGTATAACAGACTAGGTCATGATCTGTACTCGACGATGACTTTCTCCGGGAAGTCGTGGTGTATTCACACGAATATCGACCCGGGAGTCTCGCTCGATGCACTAGGTCGTGATCTGTACTCGACGATGACTTTGTCGGGAAGTCGCGGTGTTTTTGCACGAATATCGACCAGTGTGTCTTGCTCGACGCACTAGGTCTTGATCTGTACTCGACGATGAGTTTCTCCGGGAAGTCGTGGTGTATTCACACGAATATTGACCTGGGTGTCTCACTCGATGCACCAGGTCGTGATCTGTACTGGATGATGACTTTCTTCGGAATGTCACGGTGTTTTCGCACGAATTTCGTCCTGGGTGGCTCGCTCCACTGAACAAGTCGGATTACAGACTCGACGATGATTTTCACTGGGAAATCGCGATGTTATCGTACGGAAATCACCTATAATAGTCCGCTCGACGCACTTGTTTGGGATCCGGACTCGACGATGACCTTCTTCGAGAAATCGCGTTGTTTTCGCATGAATATCATTGTCAAGACGTATTTTTCTA